GAACATCGGAGGAAATATTTTGGGAACGTGTTAATTATGCCAGAAAATATTTTGGAGGCGTATCAATATCGCAACAAATATTTGAAAATGTGTTTGACCATTGCTGAATATATTTTTGGGACACCTGAACATCGGAGGAAATATTTTGAAGGCGTTTGAACGCGATAGAAGATATTTGAAGATGTTTGAATATTACAGAAAATATTTTTAGGCCTCCTAAACATCGGAGGAAACATTGTGGAGGCGATTAAACGCGATAGAAGATATTTGAAGATATTTGAAGATGTTTGAAGATGTTTGAAGATGTTTGAAGATGTTTGAAGATATTTGAACATGTTTGAACATGTTTGAACGTCGTAGAAAATACTTTGTAGACGTGTTCGAACGTGCCAGAAAATATTTTGGAGGCGTTTCAATGTCGCACGAACTGTTTGAAGATGTTCGAACATGTTTGAACGTCGTAGAAAATATTTCGTAGACGTGTTTGAACGTGCCAGAAAATATTTTGGAGGCGTTTCAATGTCGCACGAACTGTTTGAAGGTGTTCGAACATCGCCGAATATATTTTTGGGACGCCTGAATGTTTGAACGTCCTAGAAAATGTTTTATTACTATCTATAATTTTCGCCAGTTGTTCGTTTATCTAGCTTGCGATATTAGCTTCAGGTAATTGTTATGTTCATTACGTTTCGTTTTGTAATTGATGCTTGTAACCCAAGGGACCCTTCGACGTCGGCGCGGCGATGTTTTAAAACGACCAAGCTAACTTCATTAATCGTCGCACGTGATCACGAAACAACGGGTCTCCACATTGTAGCTGGAAGATAACAAATTGGTAAACCGATATAATTACTAGAGTCCAGCGCGTAGATTATCCGTTGCATTGTAAATGCTAACTATTATACAAAGCGGTAGGAGACTGTCTTTTGCGTGAATAATATTACGAAATTACTGTGCAAACAACACTGACCTTACTAAATGCTGCACGATGCAACGCAACAAATTACGAGTTGCAATATTATTTTTCTTTTCTTTCGTCGTGCCGCGAGGGACCGACGAGTTTTCTCTCGGATTGCGAAAAGCGTGACCGTCAATAAAACGGTGTGACGCTGCAAGAATCGTACACTTGGTGTCAACGATTCATTCGCGCGGACACGATTTCTCACGATATTTCCTTCGATCAACAAATTGCCAATATGCTCGACCGATTGCCGCGTGCCTCGGTACAAAATGAGCGACATTGAAAGAATAGGAGATGGATTCATACATATTCACAGGCGCACGAATACGATTTGCAATAATGAACGCTTTTCCTTTTTTTCTTCGTTCCCATTCGAACCTGTTAATTCCAACAGTTTCCGTCGGTTTTGGTTAATTTGATTCATTAATTGCTCGCAGCCAGACAGACTATTCCGTTAATTATCTCGAGGCACGCAAACATGAACCTGCGAGATGACCCCTGGCTATTTCTCTTCGCCTATTTCTTTTTTCTATTCGATCATCCGATTCTTTTTTTTCCCGATGCTGTTACGTACTTCTCTTCCGCTTGCAAGTGACACGCAAAATGTTTTTGCTTGCAAGAAGAAGAAGGCCGCAGTTTATTTCTATGAAATATGACGGATCGACGTTTACAATACAAGCAATATTATATTCATGCTCGCAGGTACGAAAATGTTAAACCGCACGGAGCAACGTCACTTATCGAAGTCTATTTAACTTTGAATTGATGTGCCAGTCAACAGCTCGCGGGCCGTGCTGAATCTTCCGACTCCGTTGAATATTTCTAGCGTGTTTTTTCTTGCTCGCGCGTAAACTTTTGCGACCGACTGTATGTAAATTTTCGTGGCCGACCATATTTGCAATATGGTTCTCCGTCCGGGATTTCTCTTCGGCGCTGCATTCCGTTTCGACATACGTAATTATTCCGGCGACATTTACAGTTGTAGTCTTCGAATTCGTTTCGATTTCTATCAACGATTTTGCGATTAATCGTAGCACGTTCGTAGTGCCGATCCTCCGTCTAATGCCTAAATTCGAAACGGATTGGTCTCTTGATACGGTAATTATTTGCTTTCGAATCGAGTCGCTCGATCTTTTTCTTTGTAACCATTTTTTCGCATGCGCTGTGACTAAAAGCGATAAATAAATAAAAAATATATAATAATATAATATAAATATATAATATATTATATATAATATAAATATATTATATAATAATAAAATATAATAATAAANCGCAGTTTATTTCTATGAAATATGACGGATCGACGTTTACAATACAAGCAATATTATATTCATGCTCGCAGGTACGAAAATGTTAAACCGCACGGAGCAACGTCACTTATCGAAGTCTATTTAACTTTGAATTGATGTGCCAGTCAACAGCTCGCGGGCCGTGCTGAATCTTCCGACTCCGTTGAATATTTCTAGCGTGTTTTTTCTTGCTCGCGCGTAAACTTTTGCGACCGACTGTATGTAAATTTTCGTGGCCGACCATATTTGCAATATGGTTCTCCGTCCGGGATTTCTCTTCGGCGCTGCATTCCGTTTCGACATACGTAATTATTCCGGCGACATTTACAGTTGTAGTCTTCGAATTCGTTTCGATTTCTATCAACGATTTTGCGATTAATCGTAGCACGTTCGTAGTGCCGATCCTCCGTCTAATGCCTAAATTCGAAACGGATTGGTCTCTTGATACGGTAATTATTTGCTTTCGAATCGAGTCGCTCGATCTTTTTCTTTGTAACCATTTTTTCGCATGCGCTGTGACTAAAAGCGATAAATAAATAAAAAATATATAATAATATAATATAAATATATAATATATTATATATAATATAAATATATTATATAATAATAAAATATAATAATAAATATATTATATAATAATAAAATATAATAATAAATATATTATATAATAAATAAATATATATAAGTAAAAAATATATACAAGTAATATATACATAAATAAAATATTCGATGACACACACACACACACAACGAATTCTTAAAAATAAAATTAGAAAAATTTGTTGTGAATCGTGAACGAATTATCGTGGTAACTAAATTGTCGTTTGCAAATTGTATTCGCAATTGCGATGATAGTTACAGAATTATTTCCATTGGTATCTTTTCACAGTTCGCCGTGATTTAAAAATACATAAAATATGCGAAGACAAGCAGCTGTTAAATTACGTTAAATTACGAAAATTGTTGTAAACTGTAAAGAAAATATCGTGACAACTGAATTGTGTCATTCGTATTTGTGTTTGCAATTTTTACAACATCCACGGAATTATTTTCATTGGTATTCGAAATCAGAAAGTGTGATTAATCGTATTCAGTGATGATTTCGAATGAAAGAAAAGAACGTCCGACGCCGGTGACTTTAAATGTCGTTCGAAGTTCTCGAAGATCATCGACGATCTCGTGCTCAGCATCGTCTATTGTTCACGAATCCTGTTTCGTTGGTAGCCGTCGACATGGCCCTTGTGACCCTGAGCAGACCTTGAACTGCGGGGGAAAAGAAAACGTTTTCCGTACAGCACCGAAGTGCGCCGTTCATAGTGAAATCACTATGAAACCGGTTGATTTGTATGGAATGCTGTTGAAATCGCATAATCTACTACGATGTCCAACTTTCGATAGCGACGTGAATAACGATAACGATCGTGATAACGTTCCGATTGCACACACTGGGCTCGCAGATCGCATAGAAACAACAATGGAAAAATTATGTAATTTTGAAATTTTGCTGAAATCGTTCGCGTCGCCGAATCACGGTTGCTTTATAAACGATGATATTTTTCACGTAACGATGATAATCATCGAGAGACCGTCCAAATCGAATCGTTTTCCGTCTCTGAATACACATGTACGAAAAGAGGAATTGTCGAAAGTGCGACGTCGGAATGGGCGGTGGTAATGGAATGATTTGCGCAGGCAACGGTTACATTGGAAAAGCGAAATCGTCTTTATTGACGGCCGAATGAAAGTTGCCAAATTAGCAAGTGCATATTTGCTGGCAGGAACTTCACGTTTCAACAAAGATAATGGCACACAGTCGATGCAGCTGAAATAGTGGAAGATTGTTTTTCATTCGAAAATATTTTGCTTCTGGATTTGCCAGTGCCCCCGATTTGAATATGGAGTAAATTCTCCTTAAATGAAAAAATAACGAATAAACATAACTATTATCTCCAAAATATTCGTCGACCTAAATTCATGTGCATATATTGGGAACAAATTACAAGCGTACAAGGAAATCTGACAATTAAAATTTGTTAACGATTTGAAACCGTGTCTCGCCGATCACGAGTTCGCTCGTGTTTTTATGCTCGGACGTTGAAAATTGCCGGTCAGCAGTGTGTTAATATAAACAGATTCATGGAAATTATCCAGGAAATATTTTATTCTTTTTACCACGTGCTCTCGCCTTGAGATGATTATCGATGATCATCGAGTGATGTATTTGTAATTTGTAGTTCTGCCGTGAATGTGTTCGAATGATAAACGTTGATTATATCAAAAAATGTACGAGCATGTATAATTTATGTGCAAGCAACGCGATAATTATCATTTAATTAGTATTGTTTGAAACGCAATTATTATGGAAATTAAAGCTGCGAGTACATGTATATATGCACATACATATAAATATATCAGTTTTTGCATTGTGGTAATAAATTATCACACGGCACGTCGCGATTGCTGAAGAATGCCCTTGCTAAGCGTAAACGGAATTCAACAATATTATATTAGCCCTGACGAAATTTCTTTTGCTCACCGAACTTAACAGTTGCAGCAATTATACCGTTTCAACGGTATCGCATTGATCGCGTGTTAATTTTGGTCCTGTGCGTAATTCGAAAACATTTCGTCGCAAATCTCTAACGTCGTCGTTTTCTTTTCTTGTTTCAGTCGGAGAGCGGTGAGCCCGTGAGCAAGCTATTCGGTAACATTTGCTGGGAAAAAGTGCAGACGAGAGACGCGCCAAGATGAACACGCTGGAGTATATGGAGGTCACCGTGCCCAATTATTCCTACGTCTTCAATTTCGAGGAAACCTTCCGTCACTTAGACACAAAGATATGGATGACAAATAACTGGACGAATGGTTTCTATTACTGTGGCATTTACATGATTTTAATATTTGGCGGACAGCATTACATGTCGACCAGGCCAAAGTACGAGCTAAGAGGCATGCTTTCACTTTGGAACACGCTGCTTGCAACATTCTCCATTATTGGATTTACTAGAACAGCGCCAGAATTGATCCATGTACTCAAGAATTATGGGTTTTACCATAGTGTTTGTATACCTAGGTAACCAACACGTTTCTTTTATATTTATCCACCAATTGACGTGTCGTGTTACTCTTAAAATATCTATTCACAAACGTATCTCATATTTTCATCGCTCCTACTGCTCCCCGGCCCCTTCTCGCTTCGCCTTTCCCCGCTTCTCAAAGTTTACTTTTACTCCATTCGATTCACTTTTCTCTAATGGATTACCAGGATCCTATTACCACATTCGATCCAACAAGTGGTAAATCAGATTCCCTGCTACAGATAGGATCCTACTACATATCTTGACATTGTACACCGAAAGCCAGTTGAGAAGTGCACTACGGCACCTTACACCATAACAAGATAAACTTTAAAACGGTGACCGAGCAGAACAATCGACTGACAATGGATCATGTTTCAGCTTCATCGAGCAAGACTGCGTGTCAGGCTTCTGGACATGGATGTTCGTGCTATCGAAGCTTCCCGAGCTGGGCGACACGATCTTCATCGTGCTGCGGAAGCAGCCCCTGATCTTCCTGCATTGGTACCATCACATAACAGTGCTTCTGTACTCCTGGTTCTCGTACAAGGAGTACACAGCGTCGGCCAGGTGGTTCGTCGTGATGAACTACTTCGTCCACTCCATAATGTACTCTTACTACGCGCTGAAAGCGATGCGCTATAGACCGCCTAAGGGGATCGCGATGGTGATTACCACGCTGCAGCTAGCACAAATGATAATCGGCTGCGTGATCAATATTACGGCTCACCAGTACCTGCAAAGTGGGCAGATCAAGTGCGGCATCACCCCCGTCAACATCCAGTTCAGCCTGGCAATGTACTTCAGCTATTTCGTGCTATTCGCTAAATTCTTCCACAAAGCCTACCTAGGCGGCGACGCTCGCGGAGCCAAAACGGCGAAGAAAGACTACGTCAACGGATCCGTGGAATACGAGAAGCTCAAGGCTAATTAAGCACCGACCTCCCCCTCCCCCCGACGAAAACCCATGTACACACTCCTACGCAGACAGCGACATAGCGACACACGAAGAGGACAGTAAACCACGGGACGCCACAGTAAAAACAAATTTTTCGAAACATTTTCTAGAGACGCTTTTCTGAAGAGATTTCGCGAAAACACTTTCTGAGAATGTTGTTTTTTTTGTTTTTTGTTTTTTATAAAAAAGACGTATTTTGAGAATGCTTTTCAAAAAACGCTCCTCGAGAATGTTTTATTCTTTGTTCTCCCATTTTTCTGTTCGAGAGAAAAGCCTCTCTCTGTCTCTCTCTGTTGAACACGAAAAAGAAAATAGTAGCGTGTGGGCAGAGGGGAAAAACGGGGAGGAGACGATGATGCGTTACTTGATGAATATAGCACACTGAATTTTATGATAATGTTAAATGTTGCACACTGAATTTAGTAATGAATTTAATGATGGTAGCGTGTGTTGAAAACACGTTATCGAGCCAGTAACGAGCTTCTTAGAGGCACTCCTTGGGTTGGGTGGGAGAAGAGAAGAGGAAACTATATTTACGTTTTAGAAACAATACGTCTAGCCCGTCGATTTTTCGCGGGTGTAATTTATTTTACAACTGAGCTCGTGTCTGTTGATTGTGAAAACGGTTCGTTCTTTTTTTTTTGTGTTTGTTTTTTGGTAGAACGAGGACAGGGAGGAAGTATCAGATTTAAATAATAATTGTAACGACATTAGCGTGATTAGAGAGCGACGCCATTGTTTCACGTTGAGCCATTCAACAGCAGAATGTATTTTCTACTAAATTCGCGGATATGCTTGACAGCGATTGTCGAGCATAAGCAGAATAATAGAATTAAACAGTTTAGCGCGACGAGGAACGGGACAAGTGTTCTTTCAATTGCTTAATTCGTGGCTATTTTAAAATTTGTACTAGAAGTATTTTGTAAACGATTTAACGAAATGAGAAAAAATAAGCCTCGTTCTAGCCGATTTGAGGGAGAAGGAAAAGGAAACATAAGTCCACCGAAAATTCATTAGGTCTACCTCCGAAACGAGCTAAGAAATATTCTTCGTAGAAAATAGTAAAGACGAGATGGTAGAGGTCGAAGAATAAAATTATAATCCTGAATTGTTGAGTTTTTGGGAACGACGGGAGGATGAGGGAACGCGGAGAAGTATTTACATTTACTATTTTCTATCACGTCTATTTTGTGCCGCTAGTATAAATAAAGAGAAAAAAAGAAGACGAGGACGACGATGCTAATGATAATGATAATGATAATGATGATGATGATGATGATGATGATGATGATGATGATGATGATGATGATGA